ATCTTCGAGCCTGTGACATCTGACTTCTGTGCCAAGTCCTTTCCCCCTTGGTTAGTTGAAAGTGGACGACTCGCCTCAATGGACCAATAAACGAGAGGTGAAAGGGACATTAATATGTCATCTCAATGAAATCGATTAAATTATATCAATTTCGTGTTAATGGATCAGTTGTCCTAAGGTTACCTACGTTTAGAAAACCTTGTGTTCGTTTAAACGAAGTGACTGAGAACTTCCAGACAAGCGATCCTTTTTCTCCCTATTTCATTTTTTGGACTTCAGTGTCCCATGAGAAGCCATTTGTTGCAAGATATCGAAGTCACCGCCATGCACGTCACATAACCTACTGTAAACTTTTGTTGCCCATTTCAGACGCCCGTCTTCAAAGAAACCTACCACAGAATCACCTTCTACTACTGTCTTTCCAAATTTGTCAGAAACTGATCTAAAGAGGGTATTTGTTGGAGGAATACTGCCATTTTCTACAAGGGATACTGTTCAGTCGGCGTTGCTAAAGTTCGGTCCTATAAAGAGGCTTGAATATTTTCCACAACGCGGCTTCGCTGTCGTTCAATTTGAACAACCCGAGGCATTTGATTTAGCTTTATCGACACACTGGCATGAAATTGATGGCAAGAGAGTGGGATTACTTCGGTATGTTCCGAGGAAATTGGCCGATAGACAACCACCAGTATTGTCAACACTTTCAAATTCTTCACCGCTCTCTCCTAATTGCAATGGTCTGCCAGCGATAGGTTCAAAATCTTCCATAGACTCTTCTTCTGGTTTAAGAACGATTTTTATTGGAGGAATAACTTCGATGATTAATGAGGAATCAATCAGTTCCGCACTCTCTTATTTCGGTTCAATAGAAAAGGTACTTATTAATTCCCTAAAAGGTTATGCTTTGGTAACCTTTAAAAGCGTGGATGCTGCAAGTAAGGCCATCGCAAGCCATTGGATTATAATTAATGACAAAAAGTTGGAGATGGTGGCCTTTGAGAGGTATCCAAAACGAAAATTTGCATCCATGTGAGATATCACCTCTGACTCCTACTTTTATTAGTAGTATATGAACAGCCGCAATAATCTGTATCCTTTTTCCCCTTTTCAGACCTCCCGTATCTTCCTTTAGTAGTATTCCTGAAATCCAGTAAGTTCAATGTTCAAGTTCCTTCTTCATGCTTAGAAAAAAGTGTTAGAATGGAATGGAAGTCACACACACACGCACACACGCACACACAATGTGAAAATTGCAAGATTTTAAGCTCTAACCTATTTCCAATTTCGATATTATTCGTAAAGAAATCGACTTGTTCAGAATGGAAGATGCAATGTTGTCAATAAAATGTACTAAAGTGAGATGAAATGTTAACTTTGAAGACTTCGGTCTTCAAGACAAAAGTGTTGGTTCCATGGATTGCATTGCTTGCTTAAAACACAAGTTCAGCAGCTACTCTTTTGCTTTCGGTTTTACTTTTTTTGTAATTCCGAATTTCACCGATCCGTTCTAATAACTCCGGTTGTGTAATAAATCTAAAACTTTCCATTTTTAAGACGGAAACAGATTATTAACGTATCTTTAAAAAATTTAGTAAATCGATCACCAAATTTGTTCATTTTCCCATTTTCAGAGATACTAATGAGAACCAATCTGTCGAAGATGTCTCTAAACGGAAGCTTTATGTTGATGGAATTGCACCCCCAATAAATGAAACCATATTAAAGACCTATTTCTCTCAATATGGAGCCGTTATATTTTGTCAAATTACCGGACAACGCGGATGTCTTATTTTTGACAGTTCGAAAGGTGTGGAAGCCGCATCGAATGCTTTGTCACACATAGTTGTTGGTAGGAATCTAAAGATTACAAAATTCACTCCAATTTGTACTAAACCAAGGTTAGTTTGTCTGCTATAACTTCTCATACCATAAACTTGGAGAATAAAGGCGAGGAGTGGACTGAATTAAATCAAGCAAAACGCATTTAAAAATGGAAGATATTGTATTGAGCCCTTTGCATATGATATTTTAGCTTAGATAGACCAGAGTTATTTATATCAAATGGCGGGCGTCTTGATGGTTATCATTAGCCCTTTAATTGACTTCAGGCTTCATAGAGAGCAATGAACATCAAATTGAAAAAAGTCGGGAGGGGGGGGGGGTGAGGGAACAGATGAGTGTTTCAAGGATGTAAGGGACAAATACAAAGGTGGAAAAAAAGGTGAGGTGAGTACTGTGGAAATAGCCTACTATGGCATAGAGTGAGGTGATGGCAGTTTGAAGTGAGAAGTCAACTGCCAGTTAATAGACTTTTTTTGCCGTATGAGTATACGTTGCCCAGGGTGCACCACGTGGAGGTGAGTCTATCGCACACCCCAGATAGACAAGTGTAGGAGGCAGAAACAGCCCCTCTCAATCAATGTCTTTTCAAGCAATGCAATTTTCACTAGTACAACCTACTACGAATTGGAGGTTTTGACAGGAATTTAAACTGAGAGAACAGTAAATCCAATCAATAGGAAGCGAAACTCTAGTAAACTATTTAACTGCCTGATGATGAGTCATCAACAGTAGACATATTTGCAAAAATCTTCCGATAAATTATAGTAACAGCTCAGACGTAGGTAATTACGTGAAGCATAACAAAGGCAGATCAGATTTTTCCATTGTTTATATCAACTCAACTTACATTTTGTAGTGAAATAAATGCGGACGTTGGTCAAAAGGATGTCAGCCTTCGAAAGTTGATTATAAAAGGTGTCAGTGAAGATACCACCTACTCGGCTCTACGTGACTACTTTTCCAATTACGGGCCAGTGGATTATGCGAATTTTAGTGGCACANGAATGCCGAGACGGCAACTTTGGTACTAAATTCACAGCCTCATTTTATTAGAGGTCGTCAGGTCTCCTTACAAAAGCCTAACAATAGCCATCCTACGTGTATAAGGTAGGTTATGGAAGTATTTATCGAATTTTCAGCCACTTCCACGCCATATTAGTAATTAGCACCACTACTATACTACTTGATCTAAGATAGCTGCAGAAAATTCTGGTTAGGAGACGAAGAATAGCGTAGGTGTGAGTATTTAAAGGAGTTTATTAATAAATGACTTATAAGACGGAGCTTTTCAAGTTAGGTAACTAAAACTTCCAAGACTCTTCAGAAAGTCATTCGTCAACACTCAAGTTGGCTGTGGGATAGCAACATGTGTATGTGTGTGGACCGTTGGACATCAAATTCTTGATCTCTGACTTCACATAGAAGTAGATTAGCACGTGCACTATTGAGCCTCTGTCATAGTTAACGATTTTGACTCCACTGGCTTAACACAACAGTTTTGGTTTCACCCCACTACATGTAATTGAGGTTTTCCCAATGAACGGCGCTTTGTCTGAGTGCGATCTCTTCATGTTTTGATATTCGATGCGTTTTGTAATGCCACACCAGTCTGTTTAACTCTACAAACCTAGATCTTTAGATTTCTAAACTCCATTTCACCTTTAGTATTATCTTGAGATTTTTTACAAATATATGATTTTAGGACTCAGGCTGACTCATCTGAAAAGGACCTCGGTTCGCCAATTATACGTGAGGAATTTACTCATTTCATAATAGACCGAAATTTTATTTTAAATTATTTAATATTTATGTAAGTTAAGTATCATATTGCTCAAGCAGACTTATTCTGTGATATTATAGCACGTTTGGGGCCGTTATTTCAACCGAATTCCCCGAAATTTGACAAAAGTGATAAAATCAATTTTCGTCTGGGTTTTCTAAATCAAAGAGAATAATTTAATGATTATTCTCTCCTTTGTTTGGCATCTTATGTTAATACATGTTAATACTGGGAGCGAATTTGAAGAATAATTTAACGCCACTTGCAATGTGAATTGTGCTTTCTATTTACCTTCTTTTTTCGGTGTTGCACAAGTTTAACTTTGCTTTGCTTTTTCTCCTCTTTTTAATATACAAGTTTCTTCTGCATTATTCTATTTTCTGTCCTTGCTACTTGTCTTTAACTTGTACTAATATACTAAAAATCAATTTAAGTAATATTTTCTTCTTCAATTTAGCAGGCGATCTGGATCTCTTTTGGTTTTAAAACCCTGTATACGATAATCTAAATTTTCTAAAGAACGAGCCTTCCTGAAACAAATTCCTTCATATTTAAACAAATAAGTTACTTATAAGGCGATATAAATGTTTGAACTTTAACAGGTGTAGTAGTGTGCTAATATATGTTCTATGAAACTTTGTACCGCATATGTAAACTAATAGGTTAGATCGATATCGAATTTCAAATCTACACAATTTGTACTTTATTTTCTTCGAAAGTAGGTACTGCTAGAAAAAGTAACTTAGATGGGTTTATTACAGTGGAACCACTGCATTGATATTCATGAATTTAAGGATACTTAATTTTCGAATTTAACCTTTCTTAGTAACCATGCTTCAAATTAGACAAGAAGGTAATAATGCAATCTGTTTCAAAATTTTATATTAAGAAAAACAATGTAAGCTTGGTGGAAAGGGCTTAGAAGCAGAAGCCAATTAAATGGGCTCTGGAGTTATTAAGTTTCGACATACAGATGCACCCTAACTGACTTTTTATTTCATTCAGTAGTCGCCCATAATTGACAAAAAATGAATGACAAAGTGAATGAGAAGGAAAATCAATTAAGACGTGCTGCATTGACAGCTACTATAAATGCAGCTTGCACTTTTCTTAATACCAAAATGCATACAAGGAATTGTATTAGCAAATGTCAATATATAATTTCCGCAGTCATTAAATAAATAAAATAAGTTTAATTCGCTGCTCAAATGAGATATCATCTTCCATTAACAAGTAGAAAGCGCAATAGCTATCGATTATTTATCATTAATATACCAATATTAGATCAAGACACACAAAGATTATAAACGTACATACTAAAATCGCTTCTGACATCCCGAATTTAAGGTTATTGATGATTTTGCAGTTTGACAACATTTGATTTCGATGAATTTTTCAAGTGAATTTTCTTCTTTGCACAAGAATCAACTAATAATATTTTTATGATTATTATAACTGAGTTGGGTATCAAAGTTCTCAACTTTGTAGATAAGTATTTTATATTGATTTCATGGTTCGTTACTCTAGATAACAACAGAAGTAAATAAAATTGAAAAAATTTAATACCTTAGACATTTTAAATAATGAAATATAAATCAATAGAATTGTTTTAAACTTTCCACCATTATGTAGATTTAGCATTTTAGTTCTTAAAACAGAAAACTATTTCTAAATTCCACACATCTATATAGACATACTTTATTTATTTATATCAAATGGCAGGCGTTTTGATAGTTATCATTAGCCCTGGAGCTGACTTCGGGGCTTCATGAAGAGGAGAAGGGACATCAATGTGACAAAGAGTCGAGATGGGAGACAAAATAATGATTCACAGAGGTAAAAGAGACAGACAGACAGACACAATGGCATAAAAAAGGTAAGATGAGCACTGTGGAAGGGGTCGAATATGAAAAATAGTCGGGCCATAGAAATTTGAAGTCAGAAGTCAACTGCCGATCAATAGACTTTTTTTGCCGTATAAGTATACGTTGACCAGGGTGCACCACGTGGAGGTAAGTCTATTGCGCACCCCTAGACATACATTATCGCTATCTGATAAAGCTCACATCTCTCACATTTCGGCTCAAAATTCAAAATGAAAGTCAGTTGAACTGAACAAACTCTAACAAGTTATGTAAAACAGCGACATATTATCTTTTAAGAATAAGTGAGTGAAAAATCGAAATCTGAATGGCTCGATTATTACTACATGCATTACTTTTAATATATCACGAATTGCCATAGGATGTCTTTAAGATCGTTTATGGAACGATTTGAATTTTTAAATTAAATTTCACTAATCTGCAACACAATGTTGGAAAACTGATGAGTTAAATAGACGTTATAATTTTGGCCCCAATTTAGAGATTTCACGTCTAAATACTAAAAATTTCTGCAATATGGCCCATTCGATTAAAGTAAATTAAATTTCAAACGTATAACCTTATAACCCTGAAATACTGAATAAATTGTATATACATGCCAATCTGCAATTACGAAGTCAAATATTATTAGATACGTATATATTTGATTGCAAAAAATTATTTTAATTTATTCATATTCTTTAAAATTAAGATAAGACCATTTGACCATTTGAGTGAGCTCAAGGTTGACCATCCACGTAAAGGTCTATTCAGTTTGGTAATTTTTTCGGGCAGTTCGAAAAGTGTTTTTTCTCATGGGCTTATTACTATTAATAAATAATAAAACTTAACAAATTCCTACAAGTAGAATTGAATTTTATTCTCACGCGTCTCCTTAATAAGGGTTTTTACTAAATTGGTTATACACAGTGCGTGTATAATTATTTTGGATTTTGATCTTCGGTTTATGCTATACTTTCAGAAAACATGCCGTCCTTGGGAAAGTTAGCTATCCTGACATTCCTTAGCTCACTGTTTGTCTATGGAGTCGGGGTTTTCATGTACTTCATTTATGCGTTCATTTCATTTGCCGCTGGGTAATACAATTTCGTTGACATTTATGTTTAAAGCTTTCTCTTTTTCCTACCCGAGGTTCAGTGGGTTTCGCTGAAACGTAAAATCCCAATTTCACATGGTCTTGTCGAGGTTTGATTTTCTTTTACTATAATCTTTTCTCTAGATTGATTGTAAAAAAGCGACTTTGTCACACCTCAAAGTCAATTATGCTATTTCTGGTTGTCACGAATTGGATGTTGTGCTAAATCAAGTTGGAGTTATTTTAAAATTAAATCATTTTAGATTCTTGATTACATTATTAATGATTACATCCGATCTTGGTATACGTTGCTCACGAATGAACCGGCATTTCCTCAACAATTGCATGCTGCAATGGCTCAATTAATGACCGAAGTATCAAAAAAGGCTCAGAAGATTGACTGGATTCCTTTCATAATTGAGGGAATTCCTAATATAATTATCGAGCATCTTCGAATTCATCGCAGATCTCTTGATAGACATGCACAATCATCGAATTCTGCTGATCTTACAAAATTCTTTTTTGATGAGGAAATGGAAGTCGAGATGCAAGTTTGCCGCGAGGAAGTCTGTACGTGTGCAGAAAAGGAATTAGATCACTTTAGGCGAATAACCGACGTTTTTCTCTTCGCCATTATGCCTGAAGAGGACTATCGATTAGTGACAATTCGCTACCTCCTGAAAGTGAGTTAATACTATAAAATATGTACTCATTATAAACGTAGGAGATATTGGTGAATGGGGTTCTCTTACCCGCAGTAAATATCCTCTCCGATCCAGACTATGTAAATCAGTCGATTATTAAATTAGTAAGTCCATTGTTTTTTATTTATGTAAATGTGCTTCCCGTTGTATAGTGTAATGAATCAGCTTTTGCCAGTCCGTACTTTATTCAATCTCTTCGAATGTCCTCTACGGAAGATGAATTAAAGGTCGTCAAAGAGCGCATTGAAATGTTTGCTGTCAAATTGCGTGGTCGAGACTCCGGGGGCGATGATGGTATGTGCTGTTCGCATACTCGATATTGCCACCACCTAGGTCCTCTATCCCTTAAATCCTTTGAGAAATGTAGTTAGCTCGTTAAACGAGTGAAAATTGTTAGCGCATCATCTTACGGACTTGAGTTTCTCTTAAATATCGTCCTTCTAGTTTCCCTCGATCTTCACAATAGCAATAACATGGGGAGGGAACAATACAATAGGTTTTGGGTGGTGGAACTATAATCTATTAGCGGAGATTGCAGTGGAAATGAGATGTATTCTTAATTGCCTATGTGCGTGTATCTAGTTCTCTCAGACCCCTTTTCCCCTTGATTTTGTTGATTCTCTTTCAACGATCTCACAAACGAGCGCTTTAAACACTGCGATGAGATTTTAAGTCGGACCTACGGTTATTTTACAAGTGGTTGAATAGTCAATTAAGGTTAATGCAGCGACTAAAGTGCTCGTTTGAACGGACAGAGGTTGCCTCATCGGTACCTATAGTTCTAACCTCAGTGAGCGCCATCGTCCTCCACACTTGTTACACAATGCTTATTTGAAGAGGTCGGTAGAATTCGAGTTCCCCACCAGATGAGCTTCATATTTGGTTGTGCGAGTTTAA